ATGAACTGCTTCATTCCAAAAGAAATCAATTCAGTTACAAGGATTTCTGGTATTGTTTAGTTGATCTGTTTCTCACCCCTCCAACAAAACTAACTTAATTTTTTTTTTTTTTTAACTCCTGAAAATAATCTCTATGTCAAGACTCCTCTTAGCCCTATTTGTTTCGATCGATCCTGTATCAGAATCATAAAGATACCCTTTTAGAGAGGAATGTTTTTTACAATGCTGTCAATTTTTCTCTCAAATTCTCCACCATCTATTCTCACACACCTTTGGTTTTAAAAGATGATAGACAATCCAAAGAAAACTCTATCTAATCATGAACATGCAACTGTATTGATCATATATGTTTCAGTCTTCTTAACAAAATAATAAAAAAAAACTGAATCAAGATATGAATGTACAATATAAGAACCTTATGAAGTGATGTACTACTCTACTCTTCACTGATGAAGAAGAAGACAGCATAAAGGCGATACTATCTCTTCTTTCCAAATGGATTTTTGAGGGTTCAAATTCCAAATTGGACAATTAGGTGTGTGTATGCGACTTACCTACCAAAAAAAAAAAAGTTTTTATGAACCCTCGACCTTCTGCTTTGTAAGGCAAGGAAGTACCACTGAGCTACAACCTTTGATGGCAAGGGTAAGAAACACATTTCACGACACCATAAAGGGAACCAGAACAAATAGTAAAACCTGCCACTGGTTATTCTAACAAGCAGTGCTATTCATCTAACCAAAAAAAAAAAAAAGTATGCATCCAATGTCAGTAAAGTATTCTGATTCAACTGCATCACATGTCTCATGATTGCAACAAAATTAGGACCTCCCATCAATCATGAACATGTAATTGTATTAATTATAATCATATCTGTATTTTTGTCACAATTATAAAACAAAGATATAAATACCAAAACTAAGAAATTTATCCAACCTGACCAAATAACATTTCACTTTGCTAATCTCCACTTGATCCCCATCCATAAAACCTTCCAAGCAGCTAAAATGCTATCCCAATACCATGAAGAGTTTTGAGTTAAAAAAATCAAGAACTTGGGAAATACTTGCCTTCAAATATTCTATAAAACAAACTTCTCTGGCCAATATATAATTTCCAACAATGTTTAAAAAGTATAAATAAATTGAAAGATTTCTATGACCTATGCAGCAGCAGTTCATTCTCTTTCCCAAAAGAAAAATCAATGTACCAATAAAAAAGATGAAAAAGAGAGACACCTAGTCCTGGATTGGAGCTGTAAACTCAGAAGTACCAAGCAAAATAAAAATAATCACACAATCAGTATTCCGTAATACACATGATCAAATTATAGTGGATCGGTGAAAGGTGGTCATGACGAAACTATGATCACTGAACAAACAGTCAAGAGCCAAAACTATTATAGGAGATCAATATAAATTGAGCTGTGTGATGACGCTCTGGCCATTCACGTATATTTGAGACAAACATGCATATAGACTATGAAAGAATTAGAAGGAGAAAATGAACAATTATCAATCCTAAAAGAAAATGTAGTAGACATTAAAATCAATTATGTACACAGATTTCTGGCATTGTTTACTGGAGATGGCGATGGGTTTATCTGTCCCAACTTCTGGGTTTACAACCCTGCTTTCATTCAAGAACATAGTTATCATTTTTCTAAATCTGCTAACCAGCACAACCAAAAGTGCTTGGTTGACACTAATGCTCCGTTTGGTAGAAAGGAAGGGGGGGGGGGGGGGGGGAGGATAGAAGATAGGAAGGATGAAACACATTTCCTTCGTTTGGTAGAGAGGGGGCAAGGAGAGAAGAGAAAAGAGGATGGATGAGTCATCCTTCCTCCTTCACAAATTTGTATCCCTCCAAATATGGGCGGAAGACGCAAAGGAAGAAAGACAAGACTATTATAAATGTTTTTAAATTACAAACTTTTTCCATATAAATGTTTTTAAATTACAAAATTTTCCTTATAATTAGCAGTTTCTCTTTTCTTCTCTCATAACAAACAAAATAAAGTATTGTCCTATTCTCTTCTCTTACATCCAACCAAACAAAAAGAAGGAAAGACACAATTTCTTACCAGGAACGTTTCATTTATCTCATCTTCTCTCCCTTCTATCCAAATTTCTTCCATCCTACCAAACGGGGCATAATTAACAGTGATTTTAGGCAATCCATGTCCACCACTTCCTATATCAAGATGAACTCCTTACTGAATTTCTTTCCCTAATATAAATTCAAAATACCTCGCACAAAATGAGCATAATTAAACATTAAAGTCTTCCCAATTCCAAATATGAGAATAATACCACCAAGGGCTTAGCAGCCCAGATTCGATCTCTCCTCTTCTTTACAAATGAAATGTTGAGGGTTCAAATCCCTAATAGGACAAATGGGTGCATGTGTATGTGAATTACCTACTAAAAAAAAGGAAGAGATCATTATTTGATGTATTGCTAATAGATAGATTGAATCAATAACTGTGAAAAATAGTAACATTAAAGGTCAGTTTGTACTAGATCTACCCTACCCAACAACTTGATCAATGAGAAACACCAAGCACAGATGAAGATACAGCTATTCAATATAAGAACCTTATGAAGTGGTGTACTCTTCACTGATGAAGAAAATAGTTGAAAATAAGGAATACGAAACACCGATTATATTAATCCAGCAACTTAGGCAAGCTGAATCAATCATACTTGCCAAACCAACTAGCAGGGACGGATCTAGGAATTCATATGAGGAGGGGGGGGGGGGGGGGGGGGGGGGGGGGTTGCAAATTTATATAGAGGGGTTTTTCTAAATTATTTCAGTGGGGGCAATTTCAAAATTTTATGGACATAAATGCAAATAAGTATAAATTTAAGGATGTAAAATACAATAATAAAAAATTTCAGTGGGGGCAGATGCCCCCAATGAGTCCTTCACACATCCGTCACTGCCAACTAGTAAGCAGCCTAGGTGCAATATTATCTAATCCACTCGCACAGAGCTAAGGTTGGTTAGTCTATGGTCAAGTACCTCAACTGATATCATCAGCTTGAGCTGGTGCTTAACAAGAATCAACCTACTGAATAGCAGCCTAATAAGCTAGAAAACTGAATTGGCCGAGTGCCAATTAAGTAACATTAGGAGGTGGGCAATTTCAGCTGCCATTCTACTCAATCGTAAAATAAAGTGAACATATTGTGCAAACATTGATCAAACAATACGTAAATTATGAGTTTGAAAGCAGAGCGTTATATTTCCTCTGATTTCAATATACGAGATATATAAGCTAGCTGCTGAAAAATGCTTTGAATGAAACAAAGAAAACTAGAGCTATATATATATATATATATATATATATATATATATCATGTATACCAATTGAGATGAGCAAGGTGTTACTTACTACCAGGCAAGGAAAAAGGAGACCCCCAAAAGAAGCAACATTGTAAAGATGGTCCAAATGATGGGCACGAAACTATTAGAAAGAAACTCATTGACCAAGTGTTTTATTTGGGTTCTAAATTCAAATTACACAGAACAAAGAATCCAGCATCATTAAAATATAAGCAAATCTGCTAACCAGCACAACCGAGCATTGGCTGAGACCAGAATGGCAGAGGCATCCCTGCATCCTTTCTCATAAAATTTCCTATATATCTTCATAATCTGCTTCTCACCGTTCCAACAAAACTTTGTCTTTATAACTCTAACAATATTCCTGGCAAGAACTCAGAACACAGCAAAGCAAAGAATGAGCATAATAAAATTAATGACTTCCCAACTCATTTTCTGATGGACCTCCAAATTCCATAAGTAGTGCAATCACATAAATACGATATTATCTCCTCCTCCTCCCAAATGGAAGTCAGGGTTCGAATCCCCAATGGAACAATCAGGTGCGTGTATGTGACTTACCTCCAAAAAAAACCACCAAACAAACAAACGCTAGTTAGTTGTTTGGTGTAACGTTAAAATTGGAACGATAAGAGTGAGAACATATGTTCAAGCCTGAGGGTAGACACTTTGTGCAAATTTAACAGTTAATTTGTACCTAATCTACCCATCCAACACCTCAATTAATGCGAAACAAATTCCACTACACCGGAAAGGGAACCATTGATGTTAAAGGAGCCAGAAATCAATTTTCAAATCTCTCAATCAATCACTTCTATTCTATCAAACAAGTCAAGATAGTGCTGTTCACCTCAACAAATATAATTTTGATGCATCAAATGTGAGTAAGTATACTGATTTAATTATATCTCATGATTGCAACAAAAGTACGACCTCCTTTCAATCATGGACATATGGCAAAGTGATCATATTGAGCCGACAGTGATTAACAATAGTAAATTAAGAGAAGATTGAAAATACAGTTATATCTCCTTGGTTATGATTTAATATCAAACTTATTGGTTATCTACCCACAAAAAAAAAACCCTTCGGATTCTAAACAAAATCCTAATTGCCTGCCATTCCAACCTCAAAGAGATACTATAGTTGGAGTTAGAAGCTGTTTCAGCCTGATCTACAGCTATAAAATCCAATAATATTACTCCAGTTCTATCTCAAAAGAAAAGTCAGGTGACCTTTAATCCAAATATGCGAAATATATGATCAAATGAAGTGCCAACTTTGGTGCATAAACAAAAATTTGGTGCTAAACAAAATATTATGAAGACAATAGCAAATCAAGCCATAATGTGACAGTTACTTATTTGGCAGTGTTGAGAGAAATCAATGATCCACTTACTTTTGAATATTCCCCAATAGAAAACAACAAAATGAGGTCCACTAAAAAGAAAAACATGGAGTATTTAATAGAGAATCACTTAGAAGTAAGTTGTGAAACTAAGAGCTTATTTTTATCTAAATCTGAAAAGTAAAATATTGCCTTTGGTGGTATCCATTCAGGCCTGAGTCTGTAGCCTAATCAAGTACTAGTCACTCTGCTCCTTTAGATACATTTCATCAAATGGTTGAAACCCATAAAAGTTCACCCATTCTTCCTTCTTTTCTTTTTTTTTTTTTTTTTCTAATTAGAACTAATGATGCAATAATATAGCTTACTTGTAACAATAAAGGTATGAGAATAAGAAATTAAAGTAAATCATGAAACTGATTGTTCAAAACATCAAGAAATCAGAACTCAATAATCCAAAATCAATTATTGAGAATTTAATGACAACGATGCCAGAACACTGAAATTTGTATTTAACTATTGATTATATGGGATCAATATATATGGCCATTAATCTCCATCTAAACCAAGCATGTACCTAATTTGAGTAATTGTAGCAAAGATAGTAAAACTCAGAATAATACTAGTAACAGGGAACTATCAGAGAACTAAAAATTATATGCTGAGAGACACTTCATTCAATCATATGCGAGGAGTTTCTGGTATAGTTCACCAGAGATGGCTTTTTCCATCACAGCCTCTGGGTTGACAACCACATCTTCCTCCAAGAACATAGTCACCATATTCTTCGAAAAGCCACTTACCAGGGCCACACCACTCTGTTTGGCTGTAACTGGAGTAGCTGAGGAGTGCCTCAGGTTCCAGAACACGATCTCCGGCACCTTGTTGAATCCTTCTTCCCTAAATTTCCTCTGTATCACTTCATAATCTGTCTCCCAACCTTTCGGCCGTGCTTCCTTCTTATTTTCTCTTAAGGTAGATCTTCTCCTATGCCTACGATTCTTCTCAATCTCACTATCTGAATAATCACTATATGAGGAGGGTTCTGAATAGGATTCTGAATCTTCAATATATGAGTTGGAATATGAGAGGTATTCCGACCCTGAATAACCATATCCACTGTGGTGATTCGAAGCCTGATCAAATTCCATATCACTAAATACGAAGATCTTCTCTATCATCTGCTCATCACTCAACTTTCCTTTAACAGCCACTTCCAATATCCTATCAAAAACTTTCTGGAAGTCGGTGTTCGAGCCCCAATCCATTTCCCTCACAAATTTAGTCTTCGTTTCAAGACTGAATCCTCTAATTCTATGAAGCTGAGGATTTTCACTGAATGTGATCACTTTCCCTTTCCATGGATATTCGCTGAGCTCCGAAATCAACAATCCCATAGCCACACAAACCTCCATTGGAGTACCGTGCATACTTCCCGATACATCACACACAGCAATGCAATTTCTCAGCTTCCCTTTCTCTGCAAGGTCCTCTACCATTCTAGCCCACTGAAGCTCTGCAACTTTTCCACCATCTTGGTCCCTCAAAGAGGATATAATCTCATGGGGAAGCAATGCTCCTGCTGAGATTTTCACCTTGCCGGTTTTGACATCCTCAAGGTACCCTTTAAACCTCTTGTTGTCGCGTTGCAAATATATGTCCTTGTAGTTCTTCATTGCCACTGAAGAAATTCTATGGTATGGGAGTGTGTTCCATTGTTTTGCACTCATATAGACTTCTGGTAACTCCAAAGCCTTACGAAGAGGCACGAGCACTTCCTTCCTCAATCGGTCTCTGACTTGATATACATACTGACCTTCTTTGATTCCTCTGTACTCTTCGTAATCCTCGCGAAGAAAAACCCTTCTCGCAATGCTTCTGCATATGAGAGTGGACTTGTCATACGAAGAATCGATGGAAGGACACCATTTGGCTGCCAAACTGATCTTGTTCATCATTCCATTGTTCAAACACTTGAGGTCCAACTTCAAACGCTCCGCGAAGAGCTCAGCGATCTTGTCATGCAAGAACCGGTAGTCTTGGTCATCAGTGTAGCTGTCCAAGGCCTTCTTGGCCTTGGCAAGCTCTCTCTCCTTCCTCAAAACCTTAGCCTTCTCTCTCTCGTCGTTCACTTTCTCCATGTTTGCCTGAATTCTTTCTTCCCTCGGCACTCTAGCCCTGAATTTCCTCTTGTTTTTCTTCTCTCGTTTCCTCTCCTTCCGTCTTTCCCTTCCCTTTCCCCTTCCACTTCTCATTCCCATCCCCTCATCATCAGTTCGCTTCCTTTTTCCAAGAAAATATATTCTTCTGGCCTCCCCTTTGCCTTTCTTGTTCTTCTTTGTCTCCCACTCGGTTTTCGCGATGGACCGGACTTTGGGCCCCTCGAGGAGGCGGAAGAGGATCTCCGGCAAGTCCTTGAAGTATCCGAATTCGGCGAAAACACCCACATTGTAGGCTAGGGTTTTGGGGTGGTATTGGTGGAGCCAGAGGGCGGCCTTGTAGAAATTCTCCTTATCGGTCTTTCCGGTGCCACGGACGCCTCGCAGGTTGCATATGAGCTTGAGGGTGGTCACCGGATTGTGATCCCAAGATTTGAACAAATGCTTGATCAGAGACTTGGAATCCGTGTCGGGTACCACATGGAAGAACAAGTCCAGGCAAGGATTGCCGGTGTCTAGGTAGGTCAGGGAGTGGTTTTCGGTGAAACCCATTGCTGGGTTTGTTACAGGCTTCATGTTGGTGTCGCCGCCGCCGTGTGACGGCAAGTTGTGAATCTCCGGTGGGGTTTCTTGAAAACTGTGAGAGATTTGCTTGGTTGTTTAATGAGTATATATATAAGAGGGATTTACTTTGGGCATTAAGGATAGGGTTTTGCTATGGTGCGTGCGATCCTATTAGATTCGTTTACTAGCAACTGACACGTTCCGGATGATTTTCACTGGTTTGTACATGGTCAATTGGATTGGATGGTGCATATTAATGGTATCAATGCGATGTTTTAAATAAATAAATAAATAAATAAATAAATATAGAATCATTATTCAAGTTTAAATTGGAGTCATGATAAATGTCCAGCATGACTCCGCTGTGTGAGATCATTGGATAATGGGATGTGTCATGTTATTTGGCACATAAGGGACTCATTTTTAAATATAAAGAAATTTTTTTTCCTCCTAAAATATAAGGTAATTGATTATTTAGAAATTTGTATTTTTTTTTTCTAAATTTATTTTAATTTAGTATCTTTTGTTAGCTTTTAAAGTTTTAACCACCATGTATATATATATATATATTTGTTTTATATTTCAAATTGAATCTCTGCAATAACCGACCATTGCAATACTTCATTGTGTTTTTTATCATTAATATCCATCTATTACTTTAATAGGCATTTGTTAATTGTTATACTGATCAAAGTTAATGATCTATCTAACTCCCAAAAATAAAAAAGAAGAAGAGAATTTTTTTTTTTAAATTACAAAAGCATGAAAAAATTATAATATATTGTAGTTTTTACTCTAGATTTTGCACAAATCAAATTATTAAATTTGAGTATTTTATGTGAAAAAGAAAAAGAAAGATGATACAGTTATGGAAAACTAAAAATATAAGGAAATGGGATATAGAAAACTGAAAAAATAAGGAAAGGAAAATTGAGTATTTTATGGTAACGAATAAGAGTAGTAATGATGCATATTTAAATTGAAATTTTGAATAACCAAATCATATTTTTATGTCTGTTAATTTTAAGTTGTGATATTAAAGTCGTCAAAAATATCATTTTCCTTAATAAAAAATACTTATCTAAAAACGTTCATCTCAATTAAAAAGTCAATGTATTATTTTTATTTTATCATATTATCAATTTAACCTTTTTATATTTAACTTATATAAGTAAATCATCAATGTGGACCTATTAAAGATAAATTTAATAAATCATTCACTACTAATATAATAATCCTTTAAAACAGGAGGAGTATAATGTAATCGAAGACTACCCAAAATTTAGAGAAGAATAGTGTGTGTTTCGTAGGAGGAAGGGGGTAAGGATTTGTAATTTCCTTTCTTTTAACCTCAAATTATATGCAGATTTCAACTTTGGTTACTTACTCCTTTATTAATCACATTTTCAAAAAAAAAAAATAGTGATACTCTAATGCAAGCTACAGTGAGTTTGGCTCTCCCTATAATACACTTTGGTGGGACTCAGTTGGACCCTTAACATCATAGGAGTCAAATTTGGTTTTGCCATTTGTTACTCTTAACTTCGATTAGACTGCCAATTTTCTTTTACGAGGAAAAGTAAAAGTAAAATAAAGTGAAACTAATGAGAATAAAGTTTTTAATATATATTTGATTAGAGCATTTTCAATACTAAAAGTTATTTTTGCATGTTAAATTTATATTTTGACAAGTGTTATAGTGTCAAAATGTTACATTTTAGCAATTCTGCTCCAATGGTGCATTTCATACAAAATGCTATTTTTTGACACAACCATCATTCTTTTTCAACTACCATTCTTTCCATTCATATTTGCATCAGTAATATTAATATTAGGCACATTCCAAGTCAAGTTGTAGACATTAAAAGAGAATTAAAATTAAACCTAATTAAAAAGAAACAAAAATCTAAAATATTTGGTCAAAAAAGGAATAAAAAAATATATATATATATATGATTTCTGAAAAAGAAAAAAAAAATTATATAAAAAAAATTATATAATAATATAATCATATATATAAATTTATACATACATATATATATATGTATATTATATATATTTGAGTATATTATTATTAAAAATATATATATTTTTAGAGCAAATCATTTCAGCCTCCCCAATCGCCTCCATCTCTATTCTTGTTCTCAACTCTGTGTTGGGTTTAAATAAATAATCCACATGTAGAAATCAAGAATATTACAATTAATTAAATAGGGAATTTAGGCTCGTACCTGATTGATGATTAACGCACATATTCCTTTGAGAATTCTTTATCGTCCTTTGAGATATCTGAAAAAAATAGAGCGCTTTACCTCCTTCTGAAAGTTGTCGATACGATAGGTCTGAATAAGGGTTTTAAAACCCTTATATATAACAATAACAGGGGGGACGGCTTCTCTACAAACAAGCATATCTAAGTCTCCCTTCCTATCATGGAAACTTAGATATCAATGGTTAAAATTAAATCACACCAAATAAGTTGGAAAATCACAATCCAACGGTATAAAACCATACTCCCAATTAGACCACCAAATTGGAAAGTTCAAACCCAATCCATCAAGTATCAATAATCACATTACAATCCTATTTTAGAAAATGTAGTGCATAGGACCATAAAATAATTTTTATTATTTAAATATATATATAAAAATTTCAACAATCTCCCACTTGGTCCATACACTCTAAGTTTTATAAAATGACACTATGGATTGTAACACACTTTATAAAAGTTGAGTGGCAACTCATTTTTATTTAGAAAACACAATTATCGAAATTGATGGATTGAAACTTTAGAACACTCTCCTCCGTAAATTTCCTCAATAGTGGATCATGAATGCGTAGACAGGTAATATATTATTCTAAACAATTCCATGGTCTCAAAACTGATTCTATCTAGGATTCAAGCAAATATAGTGGTTTTTACTGAATTTCATGAGATGTGCAAACTCTATGTGGTCTAAAAGCACACCTCACTATCTGTCCTGCTTCATACCATCGCGGTATGTCACCTAAACATATTACAGCAAACCGCCAACCTTCTGTTCAGTGTGAAGGTTTACCGATATGGAGCCAATCCCACATCTAACCCAAGCTATCCTCATAGAGTGTAAAATACTCCCACAGGCAAATTTTAATATTTATATTTGGATTTACCAATGTGGTGTCAATCTCACATCTGGTCCAAAACAACCTCATGAGTGAAATACCACTCCCAAACAAATCTTATATTTGGATTTATCGATATGGCGTCAATCTCATATCTAGCCCAAACAACCGTATGAGTGAAATACCACTCTCAGACAACCTTTAACAATTATTTTGGATTTACCGATGTGGTGTCAATTTCACATCTAACCCAAACAACCTCATGAGTGAAATACCACTCCCAAGTAAACATAATAGCATGTGCATAAACCATATATATCAAAATAATAATGATGATGCATCATAACTCAATTTTGGATGTAAATAACTGTCACCATAAGGTGTAAAGAAACTAAATGCAATGTAGCATATACAAAAGAAATACAAGACATCATAACATAATGACTCTCGAACACCTATCCGAATCACGTGCTCTTTACATAATTTATTATTTTCGGCTAAAAACTTTAGTAAGAGGATTTGTAATAATCTTTCTGTAACCATATAGAAAAATCTTTAAACTTTAACATTCTCATGCTTAAAAATGTACTTTATGTCAATGGGCTTACTACGCATGATCACTATAAAAAATTTGCATATACTAAATTAATGTAAGCCCTTAGAGAAAGTCCAAGTATTCCTATAGCGTGTTCTCTATGGATCCTAATGCTAAGGACATACTTTGCATACTCATGTCCTTCATATCAATTCTTTACATAAAATTCTTAATATCATGTATCACATGAATGTTATTGCTACCTTGCAAAATATTAACAAATTGGACAAGGAAAACAAAATGACTCCCACTGAACTTAAGGTATATGCATTTATCCATAACATTCTCTTTGAACTTACAATTAGTAACCACTGTATCAAAATTTTTGGATACTACTGTTGTAAAACTTAATTTAAGCCATAAATGAGTGATAATGAAAGAATGACTCTTAAAGAGTCCTTTAATGAAACTGGAAAATAATCTCAAAGAAAACAGCACTTCACTTTTGCTTAAGCACTTGGCCATCAATTTTGTCTTATATCCATCAAATACCTCAAATCACCAACTACAGCACACTTCCAAGCTCTAGAAGATCTCCTAAGCTAAACAGGCTTAGGAACTAGATTGAAAACTGAAAGAAAATTTGCAAAGAAGAAATAACTAATTGAGTGGGAATAACTGAAAAATGGGAACATGAGCTTTAACTGAAACCACTAAAGAAAGTGGAATGAAGCATGGAATAAATAAAATAGATGCTGAAAAAACTTTTCTGTAAAAGAAATTACAATATTTTAAACTCCCACTGGATTCACCACTCTCATTAAATATGCATGACATATTCCAATAATCTCCATAGGTCAACAGGATAGTAAAATCTCGAATCCTTTAATCTTTCAAGATGCCCAATAACATAATCATTGACAATGCGAGTATCAAACTCCTTGATATCTGCATTATATAACTCTATCTCTATAAAACATCCCCACACTTTCTCTTTTCTATAACTTTATTTTGCGTAGGAGAACTAGGAGTGATGTACTGTGATACAATGCACTGATCTTTAAGTATGTACTGAAAGTACTACGATTTACACCATCCTTACCATTCTACCATTAAAATTCACCACCTTAGTCCGATCTTCAAATCATAATCTTTATACGAACTACTTTCAACTTTAGTCTAATAAATTTTACACACATCAAGTGCTTCAGACTTCTGGTGGATTAAGTATACAGTCATACCTTAAGAACCCATCAATGAAGACAATGAAATACCTTTACCGCAAACGAGTTACAATAAGAAATGGATCACAAAATTCGGTATAAATATAGTCTAAAAGACTAAATAACCGACTAACCTCAAAATTGCGTTTCTCTGCATCTATCCTTTGATACAACCAACGCATAAAATTTGTAACCCAATAATCTCATCCTTGACCAAGCG